CAATGGTTACAAATTTTCCTCCTTCGGATACAGGTAGAGTAGAGAGAAGAGAAAGAGAAAGAGCACGGGATCAGGAAAAAAAACAAAAAAACCCGGGATCTGTTCGTTCGGTTCTTGATTGATATGATACACCCTGGTACCGTGCGTGGTGGGTGCAACTGCTCGAATCGAGCCTCAAGGGTATATGTATGGTATTACTTATTGGATTGGCGATGTTCTGTCGCTCACTTACTATATATATATATACATATATATATTTTCCGCCCCCGAGGATAGTCAGTAGTGGTGGCTGCTTGAGCGGGGTGGGTAGGTAGGTACTGTTGTGTTGGGTTGTATTCTCAGTCGTCCGTTGATTACTGATGTGAAGTGGTCTTGAACGCTTTACAGCCTGTCCCTGTCCTTCCCTCGTTTGTTCTCGTGTTGAAACGCCCGCGCGCTTGGGTCACGAAAGGTCTTCTCTCTCTCTCTCTCTCTTTCCGGGTTGGATTGAATTGAATTGAAGTGAAGTGAAGTGAAATTTTAACTCGTTGAAAGCAAAGCAGAGCAGAGCAAAGCAGAGCAGAGCAGAGCAGAGCAAGTGCCAGGAGGAGAAGCCCTCTTCGAGATCGAATTCACTCGCGTTCGGAGTGTTGCCAGCTGGGTTTTTGACACGCCTGGTGCTGTTGCATACAACACCGTCCCTCTCTCTTAGGCCGTTGCGGCTTGTGGTTATGTATATAGGTATACATATAAGTATGTGTATGTGCATGTGTATGTGTGTGTGTACGTCAGAGAGGGGGGTATCGCAGCGCAACCACATTGCAAGAATACTCCATACCTTTCCGTCCGCGCGGACGGGAAGAGAGAGCCGACTCTTGCAGAGTACATAGTTATGCGCGCGTTTGACGACGGCTACGACAGGCTACGAGAGAGAGAGCCGACGCAGGTATAATATCTATTACGAGCTGTAATGAATACCACACCTCTCGGAATGATAGTGATAGCAGAGTAGGAGGGGAGAGAGCGCGGATGTTTCTGAGGGGGGAGCTGTGTAGCAAAGGGTTTGGAAATTTGTAATAAGTGTAGATGGATGTGTTGTGAGCTGGGAGCTTTTCGAGGAGCAGGAGTGGAATGGATGGATGGATGGATGGATGGATAGATGGCGTTCCCACCAGCTCCCTCTTGCTTGATATTCTGCCCGTTTTTAACTTTTTAACATGTTGCTCTGCGAAGGAGAGAGAGAGAGAGAGAGAGAGGCTCCTAGGGGTATCGAGGTTATTAGCTGGTCGGACGGAAAGCGGAAGGTTGTTGTCTTCAGAGCGGTGCAGCAGGTATGTCTGCATTGAGGAGCGCGGGCATTATTAATCAGAAGAGGAAGACATCCTCGTCGGTACATACAATGATACAGAGCCCTGTTTTCAGACTTTCGAGCTGCGAGGCAGAGGCAGGGTTGTCGAGCGTGGGTTACAACTGGGTAGATAGTAGTACCACGTCCCAGGCGTAAGTATTACCCCTCGAGGGTAGGGAAACCAGGGGGTTTAAAGTGGAAACTAGACTTTTGAGGCACCCTCGAGGGGTAATACTTAGGCCTGTACCGTGGTACTTACTACCTACGTTAGTGAGGTACCGTACAGATCCCTAATGAAGGAAGATACGCTAGTAAGTAAACACTCACATGATGACCGTACTGTCTACATCTAATGCCACGGAACCAGATGGGCACATACATGCGAGGACTAAGAAGATCAGGTGCGTACGTAGAAAATAACGTTGCTGCATTAGAAGTTTGAAAGAGATACCTACGCCGCCTTACTGATCGATTTACAGTACCTTCACCTAATCTCGCGGCTCTCTCTTGCATCTTCCCTTATCGCTTCATTGCATCTCATCGCATTTAACTTCTTCACCTACTTGATCACTGGCTTCTTTCTCCTACTCAAGTCCTGCGGCTTTTTGAGCTGCCCTCACAGCTTTTGCCTTTTTGTCTTTGTGATGACTAAGATCTGCGCTCGAGGAAGAGCCTTCGTTGCGGCGGGTAAGGTGGGCAGGGTAAGAAAGAGGTGCCGAAAATCAATTAAGGGGGAGTATTTATTACGTGAGAGATGCAACCGAGTTCAGGAGTTATTACTTGTTCGAAAAAAATCTTGATTATAGACGTGATAACTTGACGTGGTGGTGGCTTCCGAGGAGGCTAGTAGCTATCCTATTATTGGGTGTATCGCCGCGTCGGCCGCCAAGGCTGGGTCCAGCATCCACTTCTAAACAAACACCTTCATATTGAAAAGGAAAAAAAAAAAAAAAAACCCCTTTTTAGAGAAAATTTTGTGTAGGCCTAGAATAAAAAAGTCCATCGCAAGCCCATGCATTAAGAGACCCGTCCCTTCCGCTACCTAGCAGCGACCAAACTCAAACAAAGTCCAGTCTCACAAACTTCATCTGCGGAGGCTTCCAACCACCGTTCAATTTCCGAGCATCCTCCACCACCGTCTTCCAAGCCGCAGTGAGAGCTCCATCCGATAGATCCTCCACCAGAGTCGGGCGCCGGCCTGTGTAGAACTTCCCTGCCTTGTGGATCACGTACAGCGTCTCCAGAGCCGGAAATCTCGAAGTTAAGACGTCTATCGACGGGTCCTCTTCCTCGAGCAGCTTCTTCCATACCCCAGCCGCGTCCACTTCAAACCAGTCTCCGAACGCCGGCGTGATGGCCATGAAGCGCATCTCCTTGTGGATCTGGTGGGGGAGGAAGGGTCGAAAACCCAGCGCTATGGTGGACCCATCCTCCAGAGGTTGGTGGAAGTCGATCGTGACGAAGATGTCGTGGTCGACGTTGAAGTAGAATGGCGGAAGGAAAACCTTGGTGTCCCAGCATTTATATTCAGAAACTGGCGTACTCGGTGCCACCGCATTACTCGGTCCCGACTCGGAGGATTTGGACGGAACTTCTACCGCCGGGTGGTTAGATAAAGCACCACTCAAACACTTGAGATCAGCAGGAGACGACGACGCTGCTGCAGCGATTATTGGCGGGGGAGGAAACCGTCGGACTTTGGGCTCTCAGTTAGCATCACCGTATCATGTTTCATCATCATCATCAGGTCTTCTTACCATTGATGACTTTATCCACTTCCGAGGAGAAAGTTTCATGTCCTTGGATGAACTCGTACCCTTTGATGGCGACCTCGCGGGCCTCGCTGCATATATGAAATAGCACGGGGATGCCCAGCGCCAAGTTAGGGCAAGCGTCCATTCCCCAGAATATGTTGGTTTTGTAAGGGGCGTACTGAAGGACGATGCGTGGCTCGACCCCCATAGCAGCAGTCCAGATCATCAAGCGGAGTTCGGAAGCTAATCTGGGGAAGAGTTTGAATTCTTTGCATTGCTCGCGGATAGCCGTGCCTGCGGTGTCTGTTAGTCATAGTGACAGTCGGGCAGGTCCTAGAGAGCTTTACCCGTGGTTTTGGTTTCACTTTCAGAGACTTTAGAAGATGCTGTAATTTCCAGTCTCTTGGAGACTTCGGTCAACTGTGTGAGGGCGTCTGGGCTAAGACACTCTGCCGAACATTGATGTTGGAGTGGCTTGTGTGCTGGAGAAAGATCGAGAGTCGAGGTCGTCACTGGGTCCACATGCGTCGAGATGAGGATTGGCTCTGGGTCGTTTTGAGGTGCCATGGTTAAGTTGGATAATATCAATGAAGACTGATGATTTTGTTTGGCTTAAGTCTTGAACTGAACAGTTCCTGTTGACGACCGACGATGTTGTGTAAGTTGAGTCTTGAACTGAATGGTTTTTATCGACGACCGATGTTATTCTTCAAGTTCACATTTGAGCTTTTGACCAGTGTATATATACACTTCTTCCCTTACTGATTCCACTGACTCTTTGGCTTCTCGATTTCGATTCACTGCCTGATTCCTTTGTGTACTTCAATACCTAGATTCACTGCATCGGCAAGTCACTAGTCAATACCCCCACCCACCTCCGCATGGAATATTAAATAATAATACGTATAGATTCAAGTTGGCAGCAACGTGAATCAGACAGTGACTTATATGGTTCATGGATCTGGACATATTCCAAGGGGAATTCATTCAATTTTATATGCGGAATAGGAAATCAATCAGATTCCCAAGGCAGACATACGATTATAGTTTGTCAAGCAAAAGTTGAATGTTATATATAGGTTTTATGTGACCGCTGAGCAAGGCGGATGGGCTCGAGGCTGGAGAAAAAGCATAGATTACGGTGAGAGGTAACAGCTTGCCAAGTAGGAAACTCGGCTCGGACAAGAGCACTTAGCACATCTTTCTTTCTATGACATCAGGTCGATTATTCTTCGTGGCGAACGGGCATCTGTGATCACTTGACATCGGAAATATCCGAAAGAACTTTGTGCCATTGTATTATCTAAGCCAACCTGGTCTTTCCAAGTCCCTGCGCTACCCCGATGGATTCTTGTACGCCATCTAAATGATGACTTGTGTCGTTTTAGCTGAGGATTATGGCACATGGTGGTTTGCTGTCTTGTAGCCTTCGATCGTTATGCTCTGTCATGCTATCGTTGCACTAGTACAGGTTGCTCCGCTGGTGTCAGACCCATTCTAGCCGCGCGTCTCTGATTTCTGGTACTTTCCAGTCTGGATGAGACTCCTTGCCCTTAGCAATCAACTCCGTCCAGAGTTTGTGGTCGAAATGCGGAGCTGTCTCGACAAGCACCGGCAGTGTGCCTCGGCGGACAAAACGACTGTGATTGGAATCACCGCCCAGCTTACAATCGTTGACGATCAAGTATAGCACCTCCAGCTTCTCGAACCTCTTGAGATGCGAGTAAATTTTCTCGCTCTCTTGGTGCTGCAAGGCTCTGGGGAGCCACTCGTCTTCGCCGATGATGTTGAATGATAATATACCAATGGCGAGGCGTCGCACGTTTTTAATAATCAGCTCCGGAAGACGTCTTACATCTAACGCAGAGGATATACCCGTGTTGATAGTTGATCCATCTGACGAGCTGTTCCACATACAATAACCTATGAGGGTATCAAGTGCGGGATTGAAGTAAACAGGGCCGCTTGCTGGGGATATGGATTTGGGCAATACAACATCATAAGATCGGAGTGTTATGTCTCTCGATACTCGACAGGCGTGAAGTAGAGGTGGAATACAAGGTGTCACCAGGATTTCCTCCTCCATATGCGTACAACCAAAGGGACGGTTTTCGAAGGGCACAACGTATCGAGGGAGTATAGCAGCCTTGAAAATCAGTCTTTGGAGTTCGATTGGTAACTTTCGGAAGAGGGCGAATGATTTCAAAACCTCGTCTTCTACGTCGAAGGTTAGCTTGGAGTGATTAAGCTGTCTCTATGACACCTCTGCATACTATCTTGAGTCTCTTGTACAGTCGAATTGACCGGGGTTGTAGCAGTTCGGGGTTTTGATCTTGGGTAGGCTGTATTGTCGCACGCAATCCAATGCTGAACATCTTGTTCGAGGCACTCCGATGAGTATTGGCGTCGTGGTAATATGGGAAGCATGATGGCGGGGTCCGAGGGGTGGTAATAGGCTGCTGGGTTGTGGGTGGGGTTGTCGTCGCGATCGCTTTGGTGCCAAGTATGGATCACGTGTCGATGTTATTTCTGCTCCTGAAGTAGAGAGAGAGAGAGAGAGAGAGAGAGGTGACTGGAGCCTGTCGAGGTAGTCGGCTTTGGTTGTGTCGAGATTGTTAAGCTGGTCTAAGATGAGATGGTAAGTAACGGTACTTAAAAGAAAAGTAGGATGCACTTCTCGCTTGATTTGCCAAGCCCCGAGTCCGGAAAGGGCAAACGGGGAATCACTTACGGAGACTGGATCCACTGCCATAACCTCTCCGGTGTGAATAGAAAGTGGGGCCATTATGTGAATTATTGCTCGCATCACGTGAAGCAATAGTCAAGTTTTGTCTGCTGCAGCATCACGTGCCATCAAATGGGTCTGGGGCATTATCAATTCCATCGGATTTCATAACTCACCTCAAACCCTTGACCTCCTCATACGCATACTGGGCTTTGGAGTAAGGCCGTCGAAATAGGTAGACACATACAACCTAAATCGATAGAGTCCGAAGGTCTACCCGGTATATATACTCTATTGAGTCTTGAGATGTTCATATCAGACTTGAGGCATGACACAATAGCTGGAGCTAAATGCCGGCCCATCAGCTCCAGTGGTGACGGGAGGGACGAAGCCGTCGTCAAAAAAAGCTTTTATATAGTTCCGAGAACATCTCCACTTTCGCTAGCCACGACCTCTTTTCTCCTCAAAAGTCAACAACTCTGCTTTCCTAGGACTAACAAACGCTTTCTGGATCTACAGACATCATATTTTTACACATAATCGAGATGCCATCGTTGACTTGGTCATTATCATAGCTATGCTACCCTTTCCTTAATAACGTCTCCGCGTGTCTCCCCTGAAAAAGCCAGCCCAGCTCCTCCGTACTTGTTTGTTTATATACACGCACCTTTCTTACGTTACATCTTATCTCAATACCTTTCTAGTATATCAGCAGCACATGGCTCTCATAGGAAGAGAATGATGGCGTGGGAATGAATACAAAAATTCCGCCTGAGATGCCCGTAGATCAGACTCGATCGCAACCTTTCCTAGTCTCGGAACGGGCCATTGCCGTAAGTAAGTACAACGGGGGGCCCTGCGTAGCTAGCTAGCTAGCTTCCTTTGCAAGTTGCCGCACGACACCCACGCTTTCGCTTATGCTTCATGCCTCTCATCGCAGCAGGAAGGACGTCTCGCCAACTCCAAGCAACAAAACCCGACCGACTTAGATCACTCACTCGGTCATATCTCATCTCCATACATATTCTCCCACCCGCTGTCTTATACCCACAAATCAGACGGCGCAAAGAAAGGGGAAAAAAGGAAAAAGTAGAGCTAAAAGTTCGGATTGAATGAAGCCTTCCCACCTACCTAGGTAGTAGCCGCGTTACACTCCTCTGGTCACTTTTCATGAATTGATAGCATCCGACTCCAAAAAAAAAAAACAAAAAAAACCCCCCGAAAGAATAGATCGGTCAACCCAGTTAAACATCATGTGTTTAATCAATCTCAAATTGAAAAATCGGATTCTAAAGAGCTTATGCGTATAAGATATTATTTAACCCCCCCCCCCCCCTACCCCCCCCCACACACACATTTATTCCACTCTCGCTAAATATCTTGGTCTAATATTATGTACAAAATGGGTCTGGACATAGAGCCGATGAGACCTTGCACAGAACTGAGCTTTCGGTCAGGACTCAGGACTATTGAGGCGAAGACTTACACAGCTGATTGCATATAATCTACGATAGCTATCTTTTTCTGCTGGCGACTTGTAGCGGTTCACGTCTAGTTGTTACATCGCAAATTCTCTGTGTACAAGTGTGCCGGGTCTTCTTCTCTTCATGCCAGCAGCTTCACCCAGACATGAATGCGCATCATCAGAATAGGCGACAGAAGTTGGTGAGTCTAGCAGAAGCTTCGTCGAGGAGAAAATGGAGAGACGATCGATCGCGTTGACTTTGAAAAATAATTTGCATTTCGATTCTCAAATTCCCAATGAAAAGAGCCCCCCCACCGCCCCTTGCTCTAGTAGTCATGTGCGCGCCCGATTCCCTCCATAATCTGTATCAAGTGGTGATACAAAACACCAGGAGACATGTGCAGGAGAGCCGGAGAGAGCAAGTGTGCCAAACGACACGCCGCAGTACTCAAACCCGAAGTTGGTGCCAGGCCCTTTCGATGACCCAGCGACGAGACCGAGACAAAAGTCCGTGACGTTGAATATGAGGATGCAGACCAAAGCTATCGGCACCTCCACCAAGATCAGAAGTCTCAGTCCCGACAGCTACCCCGTCCACGCGACCGTAACGCTATTAAAGCCGAGCTAGCTAAAGCCGAACATACAGCCTCAAGACAGACTTGGTCTGCCTCTACGTAGCATTCCCGCTCTAGATCCCACAGTACGGAAGAGTTCCAACTAGGCTACAGCCAACAGGGAGGGACGCAGCAAATCATCCGCCACTCTCCAACTTGGTGCAGAAGCCAGCAACTTCCATAAGAAAAAATAGAGGCCAAGATGCAAAAAGAGAAAACCCGAGTCGAGGAGACCGATCCCATGGATTTCCCATCCGGTAGAATAACAATCGAGAGCATCCCGCACCGCAAGACAGATGCTCGGATTCGGATGTCAAGATAAAGGCCGAGCAGATAAATGACCACCGCGCTTATCCAGGATGATCAGGCGTGACTTCCGTCCTAGGCTGAAGGACCAACTCAAGCTATATCGAACAAATGAAATATCAGCATCAAGCAGCATCAATCAGCATCAGCAAAACCAAAGGTCGATAATAATAATAATATGTATACACACACATTTATATATATATATATATATATATATACAAAATCGAATCCTGTTAAATTTCCACGCAGCACCAGCCAGTCAAACGGTAAGCGCCACCTCATCTTTGGCGCGTGAAACCAGCAACGAATCTGAAACTGCTGGCGTGCCTTGAAATTTTGTCATCGTCGAATCGGACCAGACCGGCGAGAGTATCGGCGCGGGCCGGTCCACTCCACTCGTGCCGCGGTTGATAAGTACAGGGTTCATGGAGGAAAAAAGAAGAGGCGTAAGAGGAAGGTTGATGCTAGATTTCATTTCGGACTCCTGACCGAGGTTACGAGGAGGGAAGCTTGTGCGGCATGCTTATGAAGACGCTAAGATGTAGAGATCTCTTCTCGGAGTCACAAGTGTGAAATCTGCGTGCTAGGTAAACAAAGTGGATCATCTCATTGGGTACTGAGGCACACAGCGGCCTGGAAGCAGCTCTAAAGTCAAAGTTGGACTCGAGAGATCATAAGCGAGGCTTCGATTTTCCGTCTAGCAGCCTATGCATTACTCTTAACTCCGTTCCCCGACATCCCCGGCACCCCCCGCAAGGATAGATTGTCCATTCAAAAGCATTGCTTTTCCGTTCATCAACACAAACGACAACCCAAACTCTACTCATCACTCTCGTCAGCTTCCTCAATGAGCTCGACCTCGCCGTCATCCTCGAAGCTATCTGCAGGTACCTCGTACAAGCGCAGAATCTGCTTGTTCGGATCTTTGACCAGCACATACTTGCCCTCCTCGCGCTGGAGACACATGTCGGCAATCGTGCGGACGATACCCCAGCCGTTGGAGAGGGAGAGGTTCATTTGCTGAGCAAAGTCACGGGGCTTCCAGCCGACGACACCGAGGATGACGTGCTTGTCGTTGGTCTTGGGGTTGGCGCGGGAGACGAATCTAATCAGTCCTGTCAGCGTGGTGTACTTGAGGGTTGGGGAAAGATATGTGGAACGTCAGGATTTATGTGGGTCGACATACCCGAGCTTCATCACATCTGCCTTGGCCATGATACTCTGCACAGTCCAACGGGCGAGCTTGCAACTGTTGTTCTTCATCTCAGTAGCAACAACGGCACCTCGCTGTCCAACCAACTTCGTTCTCCAGTCTAGCGCTCCACCGCTTCCTTGCGCCTTGTGATCGAACTCGTTCATAGCCTTGACCGTCAAGAATTGATCTTCGCCGCTGATAGCATTCTTTTGAACAGCGTCAATCTCAGTTCGGACAATCAAGTGCACTGGGTCCTCGTCGTTGAGCGACAAATCAAATTTGCGGTACTTGTAGACCTTACTGGCGGCTGGCTCGGAGGAGTCGGGGTCGTGGAAGGGGTTGCTTTCGTCCATGACTACCTTTTGGTTCTCGTTCTCGATCATGACTTGGTTGGCGAAGTTGTGGTTGATGTAAGTAGCCTCATCGGCCAGGGCGCTGGGTTGGTTGATAGCATCCTTACTTCCCTCTGACGCATCCATTGGCGCATCAGCAGCATTCTCGTTGACCGTGACCATGTCCAAAGTAGCATTGTCTCGCTTGTCGAGGAAAACCTTGTTGCCTTGTCGTACAATTACAATATCCCAGGGGTAGACAGATCGAGGAGAGCACATGAGCATGGAGAGAATGCTGTCGGTAGCGAAAATTGTGGCTTCGTCATTGGCAGCGAAGTCTTGAATGATAGGGTCCAACGAGGTGGTCACATTATAGGCAGCGCGGTCCACAACATTGAGCTTGCGCTCAGAAGACTTGACAGGCTGCTTGTCGAACGAGCGGTCGTAGTAGTAGAGGAAACCGTAGCTCTTGATATCCTCTCCATCGTCCGTATCCAGGTTCAGCTTGGCCAGGCGGTTGAAGTCAATCTCCTCCAGCATCTTCCAGTCAGACTTGATGTTAACCGACGCATCGCGGTTGCGCTGCGGCTTATCGTAGTCCTTCCAGCCAAATCTCCGTCCACCGCGCGCGCCTCCACGGCCTACTCGCTGATCGTAGTTGTTGTAGCTTTGTTGGCCACCCCGTCCTCCGACTCTTTGAAATTGCCCTCGGCCACCTCTGGCATCTCCTCGTCCACCCCGCTGACCCCGTCCTCTTGCGAAGGTTCCACCCCGTCCAAATCTGGTCTTTGTCGAATCGCGAGTGTTGCTGACGACGGAGAAGGATGATTCGTCTTCGGCGAGTTGGACAGCGAAAAGAGAAGATGTGCCGGCACCGTAGACTTGCTGATCTGTCTAGGAGTTAGCAAATGCCCCTCCCCGTATATGCTACTCAAAGGTGGCAGATAAATGGCAATATATTGAGGTAAAAATCCAGACCTCTGTAGTTTCTGTTGTATTGTTGTCTCCCACCTCGGCCATCGCGTCCGTCTTTGCCCTCAGTGGTCCAGTCCGCCATGCGACCCAGCTTGTCGCCTTTCGAGTATGGGGCATAGGGAACGCCATTCAGGGTGGTCTCCGTGGAAGTAGGAGGACCCCAGGAATCATCATTTGGGAGGGAGGCAATGATATCTGTGAGCGATACAGGCGTCATGATTGCCACGGTTTGGATGGTGGTGATGAGTGCGTGGGGCTCGAGCGCCGGTTTGGTGATAAATAAATTTCGATGTGTGCCCCGCCCCACTATCACAGCACAGCACGTGACTTTAAATGGTCACTTGCGGTGTAAAGACCTGGACCAATCTGGTGCAGGTTGATCTCCAATGAAGTGAAGTGTTGGCAGTGTTGAGTAAAATCTTACTCTGTGTAGATGGTTACGCTAGCACCCCCAAGGTATCAATCTGTACGCCTGTCCTATAATACAAACAAGAGGAATTCCATGCAGATCCTGTCAATATGCCAAGCTCGTATCAGGCTTTGTATACAGTACGCTTTCCAATGCATCCCGAACCTCGAACTCTTCCAGAACAGCTCCGAACCTAGGGCTATCAATCAGTACATGTTACGAAGGGACCGGTAGCCTCTGCACGTACCCGTAGCACCTTACTTTTCCCCCGAGCTCCAAGCATACTGTCCTGAAGTCGTCACTCGTGAATTCTCTAGCTCTCGGATGTCCCAAGACCATTCCCCAAGCCATTACAGGCGTAATTTCCCCATCCAAATTGAGCCTTTTACTCAAGTCCAGCAAATTCGCCAGATCAGATTTCGACAGATCCCATGTCTTCTGCGCCGTACCATTCATCTGCTTCGGCCCGTGTCCAAATGGTATCTCGGGGTTATCTTCCGGATGTACCGCTGGTGGACAGCTCGCCATCAACGCATGTCCACACGGGCCGCCTTCAGGGTCTTCCGCTCGCTCGACGAGAATTTGAATGTGGTCCATACACGGTCTTTCGAGCCTATGCCCGGGAGGAAGAGGAGTTAGTTTGGGGGAGGCGACATGTACGCTTTAGACGGATGGTTGGCGTACGTTAAGACGAAGTCTATGCCTGCCTGATCATAGTCCACAACCTGCTGGACGGGCTGTTGCGTCGTGTGGTGACCGTTCATCCCATTTGGAGGCGACATGTTGGGATTATAGTTCGTGAGTGGTAGAGGACTACAGGCCTGCGATGAGCAGGGCGCGTAGCTGCCGGAGATGCTACTGCTCGATGTATAGCCGGGACTGTTATGCCGCGCCAGCTCGTCAACACCACCAGTGCCGTTCCAGGGGATACCGTGTTGGGCGAGGAGCTGCTTCAGCTGTCTGTTTTCTTCGGCCAATGTCTCTTTGTCGCGGGAGACTAAGCTGAAGTTCTCCTTGAGCCGTAGGACTTCTTCCTCGAGGGCTTTGATATATAGCTCTTTCCGCTCGCGGTGCGTTCTACAGTTTGTCAGCGAAAAAAAAATCGGGAGCGGCCAACCTGTATTCGCTTACCGTTGTGCCTGCCTATTCAGCTCTTGCCTCCTGGTCAGTGCAGGTTTGCTATCCGGCTTTGGCCCTCTTCGTTTCGGTGGTTGCCCATCCACTGTATGGCCGTCAGTCAAGCGCGTCCTTCACCGTAGATAATATCCACTGACCTCTAGTGTTTTTCTTTTCCGTCAAACTCTTCAGAAATCCCAAACTCATGGATAGTGGGCTCTTGCCACCATCTGACTGCCCACTCCCATACGCGCTCCCCACAGATTTGTTGCCATACTGCTCGACCGGAGACGCGGCGGACATGGCGAGGAATCCCGGTGACGAGGCAGCACTTTCTGGATATTCGAATTTAACGGGCTGTTGGTCATAATTAGCCATCTCTGCTTGCTTGATTGCTTGCTTGCTTGCTTGTATCGCTGAGTTGCCTGTGCTCTAATCTCGATGCTGCGATGGGGATGTGGTGCAGGACTTGCCCTGGGGTTAAAACCACACTGGGACCGTTCTCACAAATGCCCTAGACTCCTAGACTCCTAAGCAATACTGAGTAGCGATGCCGAAGTGGCGCGGTCTTGCGGCGGGGTAGATGGGTATTTGAACTGTCGCTCGGGCACGCTTGTAGTCCGTCCTCACAGCTGCCCTGAAGGTCGTTCGGGTTCGGGGTTCGGGGTTTCGGAGTTTTGACGAATTGGCAGCTCGCAGTGGCGGTCCGAAGCTGGCGGGGAGAGCGTATAGGAATACGAAGATAGCTGGAAGAGGGCAGCTCTCTAGTCTGATTGCGGGCTCCGAGAGTCTGTCTGGCTAGCAATGGTGGAGTGAAGGGGCGGAGGGGAGAGAAGGTTCAGTACGGCGGATGTTGACGGACCGACAAGTATCCACCAAAAATGCGGCCGGCAACTTGAATCTTGATCTACTAGCATGAGCTTGTTCGTGTTTATCACTTTCCGGGGCAGTTAATGGACGTATAACCAATACAGGACGAGAAGAGGTGTGATCCAAGGGAAAAGACCGATGTGGAAGACTCGGGCCCGATTTATGCCTTGGTGATCTTGTTGCCGTTGTTGTTGTTGTTGTTGTTGTTGTTATTGTTTTTATTGTTGTTATTCTCTTCCTTTTTCAGCTTGGCTGGCTGTGTAGGGGCAGGTGTAGGTGTAGGCGTACGTGTACGTGTACGTACTACCACTCACCAGCCAGCATGTACCTACTCATTCATCTGTACTTCGCCCATGTCCCGCTGAACAAGCCATATACACCTATCCATAGGACAGGATGACAATGCCGACGTTGCATATGGAGAGACAGAGTCGTACTTGTTACTACAACTACCTATCGGTACTTATACTGTAAAGCCGTCTTGCAAACCTTGCCCGCAAAAGCCAAAAGGTCTCGACTCTCCACTCCAGTGGGGCGGCTGCACAGTGCATCCCGAGAGCGGTGCGGTGCCGTGCAGGATTTCTCCGAAAGCTTGCTACATTACCCGTACCCGATTACCGTACAGAGTTCAGTATAGGAAAAGCTTGACCGCCATTGTCCCGTTCTGTTTCTGTTCGCTATCACTCCTCTCTTTTCCTTCGCTCCCCTTTCTCCCCGTCCGCCCGTCCGCCCGTCTCCTCCCTCTCATTCTCCCCCTCCCCTCCCCTCCCCTCCCCCCTCCTCCCCCTCCCTCCTCCCTCCTCCCTCCTCCCTCTCCCTCTCCCTCTCCCTCTCCCTCTCCCTCTCCCTCTCCCTCTTCCTCTCCCACTCCTCAGACATCTATCATCCAACAACCATGTCTTTGAGCGGGAATATCTTCACTTCCCTTCGGGGCGTCGTCATCGTCCTCCCCTGGGCTCTCTCCCTCGTTGTCATGGACTGCATCTTATCTCTTCTCCTCCCTCTCTCCGCCATCTTCCCAGACTTGGTCTACAACGCCTCCTCGCTCGTAGCCTCCACCATCTGGATCTGGATCCAGTTCATCTTCGAAATCTTCAACGGCGGCATCATCACTTTCTCCGGCCTGCCCGTACCTGCAAACGAGTCCGCGATCGTGATTGCCAACCATGTTAGCTGGACAGACTTCTACATGATACAAGCCCTGGCCATTCGCGCCGGCATGCTGAGCAGGTGTAGGTGGTTTGCCAAAATTGAGTTGCGCTGGGTGCCATTGCTGGGGTGGGGGATCTGGGCTATGGGTATGCCGATGGTGAGTAGGCAGTGGACAAAAGATAAGAAGGAGCTGGACAGAGTCTTTGCGGGCATTACGGTGCGGAAGTGGCCAACCTGTACGTCAAGTCCCTCAAGTCTCGCTTCGCATTGAAAGAAAAGGAGCAAAAAAAACACCCCCCAGAAAAGGTGCTGATGCTATAGCAGGGCTCATCAGCTTCAGCGAAGCCACCCGCTATACGCCCCAGAAGGCAGAGCAAGCCAGAGAATGGTGTAAAGCCAACAACCGTCCCATCCCGAAGCACTTACTCTATCCCCGTACCAAAGGCTTCGTGACAACAGTCCAACACCTGAGGAAGGCGAAGCATGTAAAAGCCGTGTACGACATGACGATCGCCTACGAACAGAATAATAAATTCCTGGAGGCGCCCACGATATGGGAAAGTCTTAGCTGCGGGGGTTTGAGCTCGAAGAGAGGATATAAATTCCATGTGCATCTCAGGAGATTTGCTGTGGAGGATTTGCCGGAGACGGATGAGGAGCTGGCGAAGTGGTTGGAGACGCGGTGGGTTGAGAAGGGGGAGTACTTGGATGAGAAGAGGGAGGAGTGGGCGAGGGGAGCTATTAAAACGAAACGGATCACAGCTTGAGTATCCGGGCTGGCACCATATTAACTCTTCAGACAACATCTATTCGCTTGCGGGGGGCGTTGCGAGTAAATAGATGGTCACGTGTGGCGAGAAATCGAGATACCCAATTCGCCATCTCTACCGATTGCAGCTCTACAAGCTCATCTGGAAGAAATTAAATCTTCGACGAGGTCCCTTCTTTGTTCCCCGAATGTCTCTTTATGGGCCACAAATTCGCAATCGTTGCATGCTCGTCGAACAAAGGAACTATGGAACTCCTCCAATTCGAAAATTATGTATTCCGAGTCCTCCTCGTGAACTCAGTACACCTTTCGGTCTCTCCTCTGTTGACTTCACTATGCCTTTTCGCTCCTCGAAAATCCAATCTCGGATCATGGAGTCGGCCGAACCCGCTGACTCACGGCCCTCCCTAGACATCTCATTCCTCAACCTCCCTTCGCCATTCCACGGATCCTACTCACCAAAATCACCCACATCCTCTTCATCTTTCTCTCCTCCCTCCGCAACATCGAGCACCAAAACCACCAAGAAACCTTTACACCTCACACAAAAATCATACTTCCAGTCGCAAATTCAAGATCCTGCTCAATCGCAACTGCAACCACAAACCTCGACCAAGAACTTCCCAGGGAGCTCTAAGTCCTGGTGGTCACCCATTCCTCGCAGTCCCGGGACCCCAAAAGTCAAACTCAGTCAGCGGAGGCGTCTGGACGCTATCCACGCGGACGACGCCGAAACGGAAGACGGATTGCTAGCCGGGATGCGGTTTCACGAAGCAGGTTCGGGGCTCATGGAGAATCATGTCCTTGAGAAGAGACTGAGGAGACGGCTGATGGTTGAGGTGGTGGCGCTCTTCACCTTGTTGGCTTTCCTGCTGGGTGTTGTGGTGCTGTGTGTGAGGAGCGGTGTGGGCATGAAGATGGACGATGGGAGACTGGACCAAGAGGTGGTGGTACTTGAGGGTGCGGGTGGGGTTCAGGGTGTGAATATTGATGGGAACGGGGCTGGGCATTGAAGGTTGGCTGACTTGAGACGACATGGGATTCGGTACTGCTTGGGACTGGTATTGGGATTTGATCTCTCTATCGGGTGTCGGTGTAGCCGATCGGAACATGGTCGCATTCAAGACGTTGGAAACCTAGCGGAAATGTGGTATATTGGGTTATGGCGGCATATCGAGATGCTGAAGATGTCTGTGGCATCTGGTTATCGGTAGATCTCGGAATATATATCGACGACACCACATCTACAAGTTTCTTACTGTTACCCCCTTCCTGTTCGCGAAATATCTTGGCCGTCTACAAATCTCCTTGTATTAGAATCTGATACCGGTATAACTGAGAGTAACCGACAGCTTGCCTTATTGACGCACGGTTAGTCCTCCAAATTGGCAACCAGTGAAGCGCTTTTCTCCCAGCCCAGTTCTCAACGCCGGGCAACAATCCTCATTTATCGTCAACTTATAAGAGTCTTTTTTTGAAAGAAGCCCCCTCCCACTCTTTCGCAACGGTTGGTCGAAATGTTATCTATCAATCAGTCCCCATTGAACCCCCCCCCACCTCCCCCTCTTTTCTCTCATAGAGACAATCTTACATGGCACCAACATGAATTTTCCCTCATGCCCACGCCTCGTCTTGGCACCCTCCTCCTCCTCCTCCTCCTCCTCTTCCTCCTCTTCCTCCTCTTCCTCCTTTTCCTCCTCTTCCTCCTCTTCCTCCTCTTCCTCCTCCTCCTCCTCCTCCTCTTCATCCCCCGCCTGGCATTCCTCTACTCCGCCCTCTCCTACGCCTCCGCGCTCGGAACCACCTACACCTACCTCTACCTGCGCCTACCTCCACCTCGCGCGCCTCCTCCTACCGCTGCACTGTCTCACGCACCAGCAGCAGCAGCGGCCATGCGCAGAGCTTGTCGTCACCACCATCTCCCTGTGGCTGCTTTGCGCCCCCTCTTAGACTCGGCTGCTCGCTCGTCACGCGCTAAGCGGCTTCCGCGCGTGAAGCGGCTTCCGACTCGCCATTGGCGCTGCTGCTGTTGCTGCTGCCGGCTGCTTCTCGGTAACGACGGGACGTAAGCTCTTCAAGAGATGAGTTAGGATCCTCTCATTCTCTCATTCCCCGTGTGTTTTTTCTCCTGGGAGATCAAGTCTGAGTGACGGGACGTTGAGACTTTGCTGTGGTTTTTTTTTTTTTGTGTTGTTTTTTGTTGCCTGACTCTTGAGTTCTTTGGTTTTTCGGAGGTGTGGTTTTGAGGTGGAAGGAGGAGGAGGGGAGGAGGAGGGGTGGCAGTGTGGATTCGGGAGGTGGACGCGGAAGCTGCTGCAGTGGCGGAACTGGTGGCCTGGGGGCTTTTTGTGGTGATGCTCTGGCTGTTGATGGGCTTGGAGGGGGAGCCAATGGAGGAGGAGGA